AAGCATATTTTGAAATTAACTGTTGGTTAAATTTGTTAGTTTAAGAATGTGTTCTGTCGCTGAGAAGTTTTACAAGGGCAGTCTGTCTCTCGTACCCTTGGTGTCCCTGAAACCTAACATTGTTGTAAAGCCAGAGTAGCATGGATGAATGAATGGGTTGACAGACTAAATGAAGATGATGGATGGATGACTGGGTAGGTGGACAGATGTATGGGTGGATAAGATGTCCTGTATTATGCAGCATTAGAAAGCCATAGATTGAGCAAGGGGCAGTACTGTCTTTGACTCCATATGAAGTCAAAGGTTCTCAAGGTTCTCAAAGTTTCTCAAAGGACTCCATATGAAAATAATTTTTCTGTCTCATTGGAGAGGACTGGGTTATATCAAAGATAAGAGAGTTGTGAATGTGGGTTATCACTATCTGTCAACAATGCATGTTCCCAGTGCTAGAGGCCATGCAAATCAGAGCTTGCAACTCATTACTTTAAATTCTTCCTCAGTGCAATGCAGAGGTTGATGTTGACAACTCTTCCCCAGCCTGTGAATCTATATCCCTAAGATTCCACTGGAGAGAGTGAGGTGCAGGTGGGTACAGGCTGAAACCAACCTTAGAGAAAAACAGAAGTTCAGTGCTGAGTGATACCTGCTGGAAATGGAATCTTGGGTATGTGATACTAGCTCTGCCTCTGCCCTAGGACCAAGCAAATCCTGAGTTTAGACTGCATCACTAATAGCAATTGATGCTGGTTAGCATTTACTGGAGTCCTGGTGTGGCGCTGTGGGTTAATGCATCAGACTGCAGAGCCATTTGAACTGCAAGGTCGATGGGGTTCAAGCTCACCAGCTGCTCCTTGGAAACCCTATACAGGGTCGCTATGGGTCGGAATCGACTCGATGGCACTAAACAACAAAGCCTTTACTGGTGTGGCACTGAAGGATCAGCACTGGACTATTAGCCACAAGGCTGGCAGTTCAAACTCCACAGCTGTTTCTCAGAAACCCTATACAGGGTTGCTAAGAGTCAGAACCAACTCAACAGCACTTAACAACAACAACACCATTTACTAAGGAGTTTTGGTGTGGCATTGTAGGATCAGCACTGGACTGCTAACCACAAGTTGGTGGTTCAAACCCCCCAGCCACTCCTTAGAAACCCTGTACAGGGTCTCTATGAATCAGAGCTGATTCAATATCACATGACAATAATAAGAAGCATTTTCTGAGGACACAGAGCTCTGGACAAGCAGTACCAGGTGGACAGGGATAGTGTCTGTCAATCTGTCACTTTCTCCCAACACCTACAACAGTATGTTATAGATTTAATTTTGCCTGCCTTCCCCCACCCACCACCAAAAATATATGTTATATATTATATCCTCTATGCTTGGTGTGGCAATGCTGAGTAAGTACTGGACTGCTAACTGCAACATCAGCAGTTCGAACCCACAAGTTGCTCCTTAGAAACCCTATACACAGCAGCACACGTCTTCAATGATAACTCCTTTGGGAATGGGTTGTCTCTGTTATGTTAATGAGGCAGGATTAGTGTGAGAGTGTTTTGAATCAATGTCTTTTGAGATATAAAAGAGATTAGCATGCAAGCAGAGAAGAGATGGACTGAGATAGATGCCGCCACATGAATATTTCTAAGGAACCAGGAAGCACAAGCTATCAAGACCAGGACCTTCCACCAGAGCTGACAAAGAGAAAAGGCTTCCTGGATAGCCAGTGCCCTGTGTGTGAACTTCCAATCTTCTAATGTGTGAAAGAATCCATTTCTGTTTGTTAAAGCCTCCCACTTGGAGTATTTCTGTGAAAGCAACAGTAGAGAACTAAGACAGAGGACTTGGCAATGAAGCATGCTCAATAAGCATTTGTTAACTGACAGACTGAGTACTTAGTGCCTACCACCGTGCTAAGTGCAACATTATACTATGCCACTTAGATTACCCCAAGATCCTATGGCAGGTACAAATGCTTCAATTTGTCAGCTGCTAACCAAAAGGTTCAAGGTTTAAGTCCACCCAGAGATACCCTGGAAGAAAGCCTAGTGATCTACTTCCAAAAAGTCAGCCATTGAAAATCCTATGGAACACAGTTCTATTCTGATACACATAAGGTCACCATGAGTTGGAATCCACTTGACAGCAACTGGTTGTTGTTGCTTTTTATAATTTTTTGTGGGGAGGAGGATGGATCCTGTGAATGGGTACCATGCTCATTTTACAGATGAGAATACTGGAGGCTTGAAAATGGAAAGTGACTCCCCCAAGACCTCACAACTCATCACAGCCCACATTCCATCCATTGGCCAGGTCACCCAGACAGGATTGTGTCCCTATTGGGAGGACCTGGAGGGGCAGAAAGGGGAAGGATGTAAGAGAAGGGGTAGAAAATCTGGGGAATACTTAGCAAAACTACAGAAACCAAACAATGAGACACCCCTCCCCAGTATGCACTAAGGCCTGATACCCCATCGGGCTGGTTTCCAAAGAGACCACCTCACCCTCCAGACTCTTCAGCCCTTGCTCAGTGACAGAGCTGCTAGGCAATGGCCCCCAGCACTGACTCAGAGTCTGAATCTTGGGGTGGTGATGTGGAAGAGTAGCAGGAAACAGTGGTCCCTCACTGGCAGCTCCTTTTTAGTCCTTGATGGATAGACAGACTTTAGCCAGCATGTCATTTAGATGCCACATCACACACCAACCTGGGGGTCTTTCATCTTTCCCTCCTTACTAAGAAGGAATAGGCACTGTTTTTCCTGACTCCGCATTGCCTCCACTCTCATCACTCCCACGCTGGCTCCCTCACCCTTGGGCCTTTAGAGAACCCTGCTAGGAAATCAGGTAACAGACACACCTGCAAGCTTGAGAACCTTTTTACAAGCCACCCAGCACTGAAAATTCCTCCATAAGTAAATCTCCTCTGAGGAGAGTGGACAATTACAAGCAGGAGTTCAAGTACAACCTGCTGAGTTGTCTATGAGAGTCCGTTCTGGCCCAGCGGAGGAATGAGTCAGAGTGAAAAGCCAGGCTGGGAGTCCCTGCGGTCAGCTGACCCACCTTCCTGGCAGGAGCCGGGGGTGGGATGTGCAAATACTAGCACCACACAGACCAGAGATTGTGCTATGCCCATCCTGCCCCCCAACTCCCTCAACCTCTAGAAACCCTGTGCCTTCACAGGTCAATGTAATTCAATCAAGTCAGTATATGATTGATTCCAAAATGCATACATACATTAGAAAACAATTGTAGACATTAGGAAATATCCATTCATCCTACCACCCACTACTGCAAATTCTGACTCATAGAAACCCTATAGGACAGAGTAGAACTGTCCTAATAGGTTTCCTAGTCTGTAAATCTGTATGGAAGCAGATCCTCATCTTTATTTTCTCTGTGGAGTGGATGATGAGTTCAAACCATCCATTTTCTGGTGAGCAGCGGAACACTTAACCACTAGTGCCACCAGGCATCCTTTATCCATTCATGTTGTTGCTGTTAAATGCTGTTGAGTCAGTTCCAACTCATAGCAACCCTGTACAGTGTTTCCAAGGAGTGGCTGGTGAGCTTGAACCACCAACCTTGCAGTTCAAACTGACCTTCCAGCCCAGCGCATTTTAAATAGATGTGCATTACGTGATACTGTGTAGATTTATCACATCAAGTTCTCCAAGACTCACTGTTGAGAGGCCAGTCAAAGAACAGGGGATAATATATCTGTAGTCATTGCACTAATGATGACAGTAGCCACAGGAATCGGGGATAATGCATTTGGAGGGCTGAATTCATACCAGGCGCTGCTCTAAGTGCATGCATCTTATTTCCAAAGAAAGCCCCATTATACCAATGAGGAAACTGAGGCACTACACAGTGTAGGAACTTGCCTAACATCACACACATATAGCTTGTGAATGAAGTAGCCTAGATTTGAACCCTGGAGTCCATAGCCTGTGTACTTAGTCACAAATCTGGCTGCCTTTTTTCAGGATATATAAATTTAGGAAGACAAGTTCGTACAAGTAAAATGAAATGTTCCTATGCACATTCTTGAGAGGGGCTTCAAAAAAAAAAAAAAAACAATGGAATGTTACCAATTTTTTTGAAGTTCCCTCATATAGATATAAATGTGTGTTGTTGTTAAGTACCATCGAGTAGATTCCAACTCATAGCGAACCTGTACAGAGTTTCTGAGGAGCGGTTGGTGAGTTTGAACCACCGATCTTGTAATTCAAACCTGTATGTACTCCTGGTGTGGCACTGTGAGAGAAAGCACTGGACCGTATGGTAGGTTTGAATTGCAAGGTCAGCTGTTCAAACTGGCCAGCTGCTCCTCGGAAACCCTATGAAGGGTTCCTATGAGCAGGGTCCCACTTAACAACAACAACAATGTATATAAATGCCTGGAATCATTTGGATACCAAACTCTTGAAAGTAGTCACTCTTGGGGATTGAAGTGGGACTAGCCAGAGCAAAGGGATCTGTAATGTTTGGCTGTATGTTCCTCTATATTACCTGAATCTTACAAAATGAGACAATTTTCATGCATAACATACAAAAACATTAAAATTACAAGCAGTAAATAAATGTAAGAGAGAGGCAGTAGGTGTGCACTGAATGCCTACTACCATGGTACATGCTTTATTTAATCTTTAGAGCATCCCCATGCAGAAAGCATTGTTGTTGTTGTTAAGTGCTGTCAATTCTGACACTGTATGGGGTTTCCAAGGAGCAGCTGGTGATCTTGAACCACCGACCTGGCAGTTCAAGTGACTTTGCAGTCTGACGCATTAGCCCACAATGCCACACCAGGAATAGCAAGTGCCAATTCAATGAAGAAATGGATGCTCAGAGAGGTAGTATAACTTTCCCAAGATCATACAGTCAAGTAAGGATCTGGGACCAGAACCAAAGCCTATGTTCTTTCATGTCCAACTGGACAGCTAACTCCTCTGTACCAAACAGAATTTACTTTCCATTCTTCCTTTCTGTGTCTTTCAGTGTAGAGTACGATTTCCGGCAACAGGAAGGCAGGTTCCATGAAGTTCTACAGAATCTGGAGGAAGCCGTACCTGTTGAGGAGGCCACTCCCCCACCCAAGTCCCCAACAGAACCCCCCATCCCAGAAAAACAGGACTTAAGGCGGAAACCCAAGAAGGTCAAGAAGAAGTGTTTCTGGTGGATCTGAGTCATCGGAATCATTCCCTCTGTCCTCCCCTAAAGGCTTCAGCGACTTGGGGAAACCACTGCCCTCATGCCTTCTCTACTTCTTGGCAAAGGCCCAGGGGAGTGATCCACTTGACCTTGCAAACCAAGAAAGCCTTGGAGTTGGTGTTAGCCACCGCTGAAGAACTGGCACCAACCTAACCAGAGTGAGTGCCATGGCTTGCTGAGGACTTCATGGACACTAGAGTGACCACGTTTCCTGCCTCACACGGCCAAACAAAATCTTGGTTTGTGGGTCCAGATAGAGCAAAACCCACTTCCACCCTTTCTAGCACCTCATGATGCTAAGCACTTGCCTCACATCCTAGGTTCATCAACCCATGAGAAAATAAAAGTGTTGTGGAGAGCTGGAAGATAGAGGAGGGCAATTGGCGATACCCCACACAAGGCAGAGAAATGAATAAGCTGGCAGGTTACTGAGATATCAGCATACATAAGCACAACAGAAGTGGGCAAGGAATCAAAAAGCAAGATCATTCTGGTGTGCTGGGGCCATTGTCATTTGCAATTAACCCCTTGATCCTGAATTAAGGTCTTGTCATCCCATGCTGCAGGGATGTAACTGACTGCCCCAAGTTTAGGTCACCCCATGGTGCAAGGATTCGTCTGTGTGCTGTCCCACATGGTTTTAATTAGTAAGGACTATGGTTGAAATTCAGGGGAGGTTTCCACATTTTTAGTGGCCCTATCATGTCTTTCTACCTGGGACTCTAGCAGCAGGGTGGAATCCAGTTTGGCTTTCAAATTCCAAGATTCCACAGAAAGCTTAAGATCCTGAGGTCCAGCAGCCTGTCTATGAGTCACATCCTAGCGGTATAATGAATAAGGCTAGGAAAACGCAACACTGGTTCTTGTCATTCCATGCATTCTCCTACAGCAGCTTTGTAGATAGGTTCAAATGTATACTGATGACAATCTCCCTCCCTGGTGACCAATGGTTGTCTGATTGAAGCAGAAGCACTAGAAGACTAGGGATAAGGATAAATATACACATATATATGAATATTATGAATATATTTTTCATTTCAGTATTAAAGACCTTTCTTATCCAAAGTCTGAATCCTTTCAAGGTCTGGCTCAATTTTATGATAAGACCCCATAAATGAGGGGTCAGGTCAAGCTTGCATGGCTAAACAAACTTCTAAAGTAATACAATGAAGTCATTTTTAGGAGTTCTGGTGTGGTGCTGTGGGACAATGCACTGGACCCCAAGGTCAGTTTGAATCGCAAGGTTGACAGTTCACATTGACCAGCAGCTCCTCGGAAACCCTATACAGGATTGCTATGAGTCAGAACTGACTCATAGCACTTACCAACAACAACATACTTTTGTGGGTGAGGGAAGGTTTGCATTCCTTCTCATTAAAGTAAATTTTCTACCAGCCTGTAGATGGGATGATGCTGCAAGACAAGGGCCCCTAAAGCTAAGCATGCATTGAATGAGGAAGGCATTTCAGAATCCCCTTTTCTGAAGATTCAGTTTCTGTGTTAGGCGATTCTTTGCAGAGTGCACCATCCTGTGTGTATGTAGGTTGTATGTGAACCCACTGCAAATTGAGACTAATTGAGCAAAGCCCTCCAACAATTTCACCTTCCCTGTCACAGCGCTGCAGTGCACAAAGCTATTTCAGTGAGATCGAGAGGGAAATTTGGCAAGGAATCTCAGCTTGCACTATTTAAGTCTTGGGATGTCATTCAAGATGTTCTTGTTCTGTTTCTAGTGTAATGTTTAAACCCACAAAATGAGACCAGAATATATAACGTCAAGTTAGAATTAAGATAAATACACTTGTCAAACTTAGGAAACTACATTTCAATAAGATATGCTACCACTGGCTAAAAGCCACAAGTCTTTTTCTCTGTATCCACACAATCAACTCCCAGGTGGCCCCAGCAATGGAAAAGAAAGGCAAAGAGGATAATCCAATAAAGTACATCATTAGGGATCTATTACATAATTTCATCTTGGAGTAGAGCTTCCATCTTAATTTGCTTTGCTTACGCTAATTTTCCAATGAATTTATATTCTTGGGCAGCATGCTAGAATGAAAATAATCCCGTTCTCAGAATTAGGAGACCCAGGCAAAAGAATAATCTATTCCACTAACCAAGGGCAACTAGCTTAAACTTTCTGGGTCTGTTTGTCCACTCTCAAATGGGCTAAGAACCCCTACCTACCTGCTTTATAAGCTCTGAGCATGTTCCAACATGAGATGAACTGACCTGAACAGTTGCCAAAGTTAGCCTGGAATGGTGAAGAGATGTATAGTAGAAGGGACCCAAACAAGGCAATTCACACACTTTGATAATGAAGACGCTCATGTAATCATCTTTATATCTTGAGTTGGGAGCCTCAAATAAACCCTCAATGGAGTTAAATGAAATTGAGATTGAAAGGAAATTGACATGTCTAGAAATACAATCAATCGAGGCTACAATGATTCTATACCAAAGCACAACACAGCAGCTGTGGATAAAGACTAGAAACAGGGAAAGAGATCGCTTCTGAAAACTGAACATTTAACATCATTGTGGGGGGGTGGGGGGGAAAGATTTGTTAAACACTTTCCTGCTGAACAAAAATGACCATCTCTGTTCAGACAAGCAAACAAACACTCATACATATAACCAAACTCTATACTCACTGCTCAAGTGAAAATCGCTTCTTTGTAAAATACATGTAACCTCTGCCATGATATTCTGTAGAAAAGCCGTACTTGAGGTTCTATGGTTTTATGGAGAGAGATTAATTTGGCAAACATTACTTTTATTAAATGGAGAGAGAGAGAAAAAAAATCCAAAACATCAATTTAACTTGCAGGAGTTTATGTAGCCGATTTCTCTGTAGTTAAAAAAAAAAAAAAAAGCGTATTCACTATACTTGGAACTTAATACCAGCTCATCTATAGAGCGCCTTCTTAAAGATGATGTATTAATGTAAGGTTTTGTAAATTTCTAAACTGTTTTAAATGGGATATTATCTTTTACAATAAACTTACATATTTTTCCTAGGTTTTAAGACTCCATTACTAGAGTTTATTTGGGTTATAAAATTTAAACTTAAGAAGGGAGCCTTAATGGCCCTAAGGGCAGGGATGGTTCTCATTATAATGGCTTCTATATATGTCCCAGGGAAAGAAACTAACAAGGAACAGCTTCAGAACTTGATACCACATAGATCATGATAAATCCCTGTGTGCTGAGGAAGAATGAGGAAGACCATATGAATCAATGGAGCAGCTCCCAGCTTCATGCAAATGCACACACTTATGATTTTTATTATTATGCACCTTCACCTGAACTATGGGGAGCACCAGTGGCACAATGGTTAAGCACTTGGCAGTTAACCAAAAGGTCAATGGTTCAAAACCGCCAGCAGCTCCTCAGGAGAAAAAAATGTGGCTATATGCTGTGGTAAGAATTTCAGCCTAACAAACCCTACTGGGCAGTTCTTCTCTGTCCCACAGGGTCAGTATGAATCACAGTCCACTTGACAGCACACAGTAACAACAGCAACACCTGACCTATAATTTATTCCACGTTTTTCTTGTATGATTGTTCCCTTGAAGATATCACCACTGTAAGAAAAGCCAGTATCACATTGCAAAAATAGAAGATGAAATAAAAACATGAATTCTTGCCAGACCAAATCTCCATTACAAAAAAGGGAGATAGCAAATGCCCAACGCATGCTAAAGCCACATTAACACTAAACACATTTCAACTTGACTAACCAGGGGGGAGTTGAGAGAGAATTGAAAAGAAAATAACTTTTCCATCATGTGATTCACAGTTTTCCTGCCTCAACCATGAACCCTCTAAAACCACCTTGTTTGTACCTTGAGTGAGAGGCTTCACTTTTTGAGACTCCAATTTAAGAAAGAAACACACTCATGCAGACACGCACAACAACAACCCAGAATGTAGAAGCAGATGTCTTGGATCCAATACCATTCTGTCACTCTTCGTTTGGCTGAGTGACCTTCAGTTAGTATCTTAACCTCTCTTGAGTCTCAATTCTACATCTTAATGCTGAACAAAGGAGTCCTGGTAGCGCAATGGCTAAGCATTTGGTTGCTAACCAAACGACTGCTAACCAGAAAGCTGTCAGTTCAAACCCAACAGTTGCTCATGGGAGAAAAGTCCTAGAGATCTGTTCCAGTAAAGATTATAGCCTTGAACACTCCATGGGGCAGTTCTATCTGTCCTACAGGATCACTAGGAGTAGAAATCAACTCAATGACATACCACAATGATAAGCACACCACAACCACAATGTTGAGCACAACTCCTGCCTCACAGAGGTGTTCTGACAATTAACTGAGCGAAAGTCCAAAACAAGGATATTCAACAGATGTCTACTCATTCATTATTGTTACTGTTAAGTGCTGTCAAGTCAGTTTCAACTCACAGCGACCCTGTATATGCTTTCCAAAGAGCATCTGGTTGATCTGAACCACAGACTTTGTGGTTTGCAGTTCAGTGCTTATCCTACAGTCACACCAGGAATCCATTCATTCATTAGATGAAGTAAATTGGAAGAGACGACAGAAGATGTGTTTAAGAGGCTCCAGTGGTTTTCAGAATCCTATGGAAACAGGCTTAAGCTTTTCTCAGAGCAGATAATGGAATGGAGAAGGAATGAACTCTTTGAGGCCTCAGTAGAACCAGCCAAGATCATGAGACTAAACATTAAGTAACAAAGTCCTTCATGATTCAGAAGAACACACAGGCATATGAAACATAGTCTAACACTGTTCAATGAAGGATTCCTGCCACAGGAACGCACATATCCTAAATGTGAAAGGGGCTGGAAAAGTCAGGCCCCTTTTGTTTTAAGCATGAGGCAATTAAAGAAGAGAAATGACTTACCCAAGGGCTTGCAGCAATCATGTGGCAAGTGAATTTTAGGAGTGATGTGGTTGGTAGGCAGAATGCCAGCAGGGCTGGGCACCTTATTCC